AGATTTTTGAAATATGCTTTCTATATCCTTTTAAATTCTGTAAAATCTGTGGTAATGTCTCCTAGATCTTGATATTGTAATTTTACAAATGTATAATTGATAATGTGTAATAGGATGTAAAGGTCTAAAGGACCAGGGGAAGTGGAAGGGGTATGAGAAAGGAAAGAAGGGAAAAGAAAAAATATGAGAAAAGGAAGAAAATGGAAACGAAGTCTTTGCAAATAAGGAAGGGTGGAGGGGGTGAAGGGAGGGCAGAGGAAGGGGAAAAAAATAAGAACCAAGATACTCATGTAATGGTACAAGATCCCAATGATGTATGTAAATGTATTTTATACCTAAAATGTACCAATAAACTTAATGGGGGGGGCTGTTATACAGATTTATTGCACTCACAATCAAAATACCAATAGCATACCTCATAGAACTAGAGAAAACAATCCTAAAATTCAAATGGAACCAGAAGAGATCTTGAATAGCAAAAGCAATTCTTGGCAACAAAGGCAAGGCAGTGGACACCACAATTCCCAACTTGAAATTATACTACAAAGCTACTGTTACAAAAATAGCATGGTACTGGAAAAAAAAAAAAGACCCTAGGATCAATTGAACAGAATAGAAGATGCAGAAACAACACCAAACATTCAGCCACCTTATATTTGACAAAGGGGCAAAACATCTTCACTGGAAGAAAGACAGCCTCTCTTTCAATAAATGGTGCCAGGAAAACTGGCTTTCCACATGCCAAAGATTAAACCTTGCCCCATACCTCTTACCATGCACTAAACTAAAATCAAAATGGATCAAAGATCTAAATATTAAAACAGAAACAATCTTCTGGAAGATAGAACAGATCAAAATCTGGAAGACATAAGTGTAGGCAAAGACTTTATAAACAAAACCCCAATTGCACAGGAAATATTACCAAAAAATCAACAACTGGGATCATATCATATTAAAAAGCTTTTTCACCACAAAGGAATGGGGAAAATTTTTTACCAGCTATTCCTCAGACAAAGGACTAATATCTAGAATACATAAAGAACTCAAAAAAATCAGACACAATCCAAAAATGGGCATCTGAAATGAATAAAATGGACACTTCACAGATGAAGAAGTATAAAAAGCAAATAAACTATGTGAAAAAATGTTCAACATCACTGGTCATTTAAGAAATGCAAATTTAAACACTGAGATTCCATCTCACTCCAGAAAGAATGGCTATCATGAAGAAATGGACCAATAACAAACGTCAGTGAGGCTGTGGAGAAAAAGGAACGCTTCTCCACTGATGGTGGGGGTGTGAATTGGTACAACCACTGGGGAAATCAGTATGGAGATACCTCAAAAAACTAAAATTAGAGGTTCCATTTGACCCTGCTATTCCCCTCCTAGATATCTTCCCAAAAGAGTTAAAAGCATCATACCACAATGATATATGCACACCCATATTTGTAGCAGCTAAATGTTGGAAACAGCCCATATGCTCACCAACCAATGAATGGATTTTGGGAAGTAGAAAGAAAATGTTCAAATGGAAAGAGGACTAAAGGAAGCGGGAGGAGGAAGGGAAGGAAGCAAATAGGGATTTAAAAATTAAAAAGAATGGAAGGAAAACAATAAAAAAGTTTTGTAAATGGAGAGGGGGAAAAAAGGTTGAAGGGAAGGGAGGGGAATAGGCAAAAAAAGCAATTAAGATATATTAAGTACAAGTACAAACTATCTATGATGAATGTGATCGTTATGTATGTAAAAAAATGTATAAATGTAATTTTTAAAAATAAAAATCTACTTAATGCATGTAAAAAAAATCCCAAAAAACAGACCTCCTAAGTAGATTAAATCAGTGACGTGAAAAGAAAACATGATCACAGACATCCATGTTCCACAAGGAAATCTGCCATGGTACCATTTATAAAGAACAACTAATACAGGTAGGGAAGAGCAGACTGTTTCTTCTGAGTTTGAGAACACTTCATTCAGAATTGTGCAAAAAACGCTGAACATATTCAGAACACCTCACTTAAATGCTGACCCTACCAGGCTTTTATTAGCTGTGTGTCCCTAAGGACATTATATAATACCTCTGAACCTCCATTTTATTGCCTGCCAAACAGCATTAATGTCTTGTTCATGCTGATGGTGTCCAAGACCATTCTTGGTCTAAATGGACATGCCAACTATGCTGTCTTTTACCCCACTCAAAAAGAAACTAGGTCTTCCAACCTTGGGTATCCCCAAAACCCATGTACACCTCAAGGCCAAAGAGAATACGATGACTCAGGATGAATTTGTGTGGCAACTGAATTAGAAAATCAGTAGTGATAGGACAATAAAAGAAACACTTCAGCAAACCCAACCACACAAGTCTTCAGGGGAAATAAACCAAATTCCTGCCTAGTGATCCTAGGAGGCTGTAACTCTGGTGTAAGGCAATAAACTCAGTTACTGAACAGAATGGCATGCCACTGTTGCCAAGAATGGGTTTGCCTCCCAGAAAACGTGTCTTCCATCTGCTGCCACAATTCAGATGAATTCATATAACTTGATTCCACAATGATGGTCAGCTCTACACTTTATTAGGCTGGAAAGTTTACCAAAGTGATTGCAAATCACATTAACCCAGGTGCCTGTCTAATAATTTACTATAACGTTTTCTAGTGATGTGATTAGCTGCTAATCACATTTCAAAATCAAGGGAAAAACAATAAAAACTAATTTTTTACATTGTCTTTTTAATCAAAAGAGAGTTTGCCTTTTCCTGGTCCTATAGTGATAACTCAGGTGTCTAATTAAAACACAAAGCAAAACTATGTCTGTAATCAGTATATCCTCCCAATTCTCATCTTGGGTCCTGAAAAGCTATAATAATATATGTAAAAAAGAAAAAGGAGAATCACATACAAATTATTGCAATAGACACAGATAAATACCTAAGTGTTCTTTAAGCACTTACAAACTGTATGTACTAAAAGAAATGGAAAGTGGCTATTTAAAATATCTAGTAATAGTCAATACAAAAATAACGAATGGAAAAGAAAGTTAATGCAGCTAAAAGAGCATTATTAACCTCCTTCTTCCTAGCAGGGAATCTCCCTTTAAAATACTCTATTTCTTGAGGGATTTCCCCATTGGCCTCCATGTGCAGTGCTGAGAGACTATTCACTCAGGAGGAGACAGAGAAAGACTTTCTGCAACAATTTTCCTTTTCACTCGGTAATTGTCTTCCTGAGCATTTTCCAGGGGCTGTCTGGAAACAGACTCATTTTGCTCATATGCTGATATGAGGCAGGAGAAACATTTGTGAACTTACACTTGATTATACTAACATCCCAAAGAGAGTTTTCTAAATGAATAAAAATTGGAATACAGCCTCTCACTAAGCTTCAAAGATGCTACCACTTTGTAACTCAGAAGTCTAGCCAATGTCTTTGTTGATCAAAGCTGGAGAAATTAATAAGAGTAAGGTAATAATATGAAAGTGCTCTGCTGTTTATTGGTACTGTCATCGCTGATGACACTTCAAGCTCTAACTAATGTCATAACCATCTATCTTCCTTATCATCAGTGCAACATTGACTGAGATGTCAGAGACAGTAATTAAAAATGTTTTTTCCCATTCTTATCTCAGAAGTGCCCCTGTTCTGGGTCTGCTTTGGTCTTCTGACCTAAACATGCCAATATTCCTAAATGCCTCCCACCACAGGCACATAACCCTGTATGGTCTCTGAGTGAGGAATATGTGCCAGTCCTTATTCTATCCCATCTAACAGATGACTGATACTTCTTGTTTCTAAGCTACTACTGATCTGAAGATGAGTTTGACCACCAAAGCCACTTTCAAAGCACCATGACTTTCCTGTACTGTTTCAGTTCTTTATAAGAGGGTTTGTTTTGGTTTGGTTTGTTCTGTTTGCAGTACTGAGGATTGAACCCAGGGTTTTCACAGAGAACTACATCCCCAGCCCTTGTTTTATTTTCAGGTAGGGTCTTGCTAAGTTACTAAGTTGCCCAGGCTGGGCTCAAACTTGGGATCCTCTAGCCTCAGTCTCTCAGAGTTCTGGGATTACAGGCATGTGCCGCCACACTTGACTTACAAGAGTATTTTTAAGTGAACACCCCTTTCCTCAGTTTTAAGGCTCCCTTGACACTCTTGATAATTTCCATCCTCCCTCCTGGATTTTCCCACTCACCCTCATCTGGTCTGATGTTGTTCATCCACTCACCACAGTGCCACAATGCCTCCTCCACTGGCTATGTTGTCTGAAAACTTCCATGCTCCATGAAAGAACGCACTTTCCTCTCTTCCCAGAGGTCAGATGATATCAGCCCTAAAGACACTCCAGGACAAGGAAGACAGACAACTAAGGTGTTAATTTTTCCCTGCTGCAGCAGACTAACTCCTTTACATGTTCTGTAGATGTGGTTAAGCTACCACCTCCTATCTGCTGTGTTCTATAGCATGAGACTTCTGGAATGTTAATACCAACACAAACCATCCAAGAAGATTGTTAAAATGCAAGTCCTGACTCAGTCTATCTGGGGTGGGGTCTGAGAGCTGCATTTCTAACAAAGTCCCAGGTGACACTGATGCAGCTGATCCCTGGACCACAATTTGGGCAGCAAGGATATAGTGAGAAATGCCAGAGTCTTCTAGGAGCGTGGTCATCTATAAGTGGTTACTTTCACAAAGTAAGTAATTTTTGATATATTATCAAAACATGGCACCACCAGTATAGTGAAACAAAAAGTCCAGCCAGGGCCAGGGATTTAGTTCAGTGGTTCTGCTGCCTGCCTCGCAAGTGCAAGGTCCTGAGTTCGATCCCCCGTACAAAAAAAAAGTCCAGCCAGAGGTCTCTTTGCACAAGGTTTTAAGTACAACAAATACATAAAAACGCCAGAGGGAATGATCTAGAATTTAATTACTGTTAAGGAAAATCACATTTCTCTATTTTCTGAGGCTCAGTAATTAGGGTCCTGTAAAATAAACTGACAAGAGAAGAAGACTTATTCATATGCATGGGGGGGAACACACAGAAATAAAGTGAAAATCTCAAAAAAGATAGTAAAAAATCAGAGGTGTGTATATACTTTTAAGAATGGTCAATACATCTGTAGAGAAGTAACAAGACCAAAACAAAGGGTTTGAGCTTCTAGGGGCAACAAAATGTAAATATACTGTATAGAAAAACTAAAGGAAATAAGGATTATTTCAGTAAGATTTGCTATGCAGATTCCTCTCCAGGCCATCTCTGGCTGATGGGAGTCTAGAATACTGTACAGCAATTAAGAGTTATTCTCCTCTTCGTGGTACAAGATATGCAAGAGGGTCAATGTCACAAAGCAAAATTTATGTCCTGCATTACACAAATAGGGGGAGGGTAAAGGGCTTTTTCTGTATCTGTTGGTTCTCAATTGCCTACAGTTCAAAATAATCTGGCAGCAAAGTGACATGCTTGAGGGTGACATATTTTGATCCTCTTCATCACCCAAAGAAGATCAGCAGTATCAGTTTACCTGGAGCTTCATAGAAATGCAGAATTTTAGGCCCACATCAGACCTGATAGATCAGATTCTGGATTTTAACAAGACCCCCAGGTGGTATGAGCCACGTTAGCTTAAGATGCACTGCTTGGGACTATCTCTTCCTTCGTCAAAGGTGATAGTGGAACCAAAATATGCAATCCTAATAGGAGAGATCCCGAAACCCATAAAGTCATAAAGATCCTGGGGTGCATAGTTCTCCAGAAGCTATTTGTACCAGTTGTCAAATGGGTAGACAAGGGGTGGGTGAAAGGGGAAGTTGCACAGGCAACTCTAGACCCCAGGAGGAGGTAACAGGCCCAGGAGGCAATGACAAGAGGGTAGAGCAAGACTTCCAATCCCAGAACAGCTAGCTTAAGTGCCTTTAGAGAACAGGGAGAAAAACAGACATGGAAACAAGAGTGAAGTGACCAGGTACAGCCAGGTGACGACCAGGTACAGCAGGGTGACCAGGTATAGCCGGATGAGAGGAAGAACAGCCACCACCTTCCCCAGCACAGGCTGGGCCCCAGGCACCCTCAGCAGGAGGCCAGGCCAGGAGGGGCCTTGGGAAAACAATGACAACAGAAAGGCAGCACAGGGAGGAACCAGAGTGACATATTCACTAGAGGAAGAACCAGAGCCATGGTGTACCTGAGCACAGGTGACATCCACCCCTTAGGCTTCTGAGGACACTGGCAGAGGGCCTGTGTGAGCAGGTGGGGCCATTGGAACTCAGCAAGCTGCGCATTAATATTAACAAGGCCTCAATTGATCCCAAGGCTGGGGATGCCTCGGACATGCCAGCAGCCAGAGCAACCTTCATCTCCAAACATTATTCCCTCAGATGAACGCTTTTCCTGCTTTCCAACCTTTTCATCACACACAGCCTCTTGTCTCCCATAAATTCTGAAATGGCTTGTCCTGCTGTCCTTTTCTGACAGGGATCCTTCACCTCTGGCACTTCATGCCAAAGTTTGGCAGCCTCTCCAACACCACCCACTTCGTGCCTCCCATTGTCCTTCTTTCTCTGAGACGCTCGAGGCTGGTTTGCTTTGACTAGAGCTCTCTCTGGGGATGACAGCTGATCTGTCAGTTTCACCCCTGGGTTTAATGTTTCCTCCCACCACTTCCAGCTCGTCCACGATTTCATCCCTGGGGCTTTGCCACCCACTCAGTAAAATTCCAAGAAGGCATGGCTCCTAGGCCTGGATGTTATTTTCTGTGACCTGGATTTTTAATCCCTATTGACTGCAGCAAGAAGATTCACGGTTAGCTTGGTTTGGGATGCATTTTGCTGCACAGAGAGGCTTTTGGGGACTGTTCATCTGGAAGGACACACTAAAGTATACCCCACCTCAGGACCGCTTTCCCTCCAGCTGCCTGGACAGTCATAGGACTTCAGAGTTTACTTTGCTCTGTCTGGTTACTGCAGTTCAAGGGCCTTCACCAACACACCAGTCTCCACTGATCTGTGTCATACAGCACTTTAAAACATGCCAGGTTTGATGGAGGTTCATATCCCATCTCTATAAGTGAGGCTGTAGAAATTATTTGAAAACCAAAACCCTCAACTTCCTTTTTTCCAGAGACTGAGCACATATGTCTCATTTCTACATCTTCATGAATCTCACATGGATGCAAAGACATCTGGAATATCTGTCTGTCAGAGTCCACACCTTAAGGCCCTCTCCCTCATCATCAGATTTATAACTAAAGGGCAGGTGGAGACTTCTACCCATGACTATACAGGACACAGGAGGTAAACAGCCTATGGATTCTTTAAAAAGTTATTTTTTTTAATGAATTTGACTTCTTGATAAGGCAACCTTCACAGGCAACATATAATTAAATAGTGAGCAAGTAAAATAATTTTAAGAAGAAATATTTCCCAAGAGCATAGAGCTTTCATTCATATTCAGGAAAAATGATACATTTGAAAAATATTAGGGCTGTTTATATAAAATCATAACAAGGAAATTTCATGAATAACTGTATGCCAATAATAAATAAAATAAATTAAATAGATGAAGTACATGATAGACACTTATTGTCAAATTTTACTCAAGAAAAAACAAGTGACCTACATTGCTCTATTGTGCTGTTTTTCTGAGATTTTGGGACACCTATCCCAGGAAGAACTTACTACAAACATTCAGTTCACAATTGTTTACATGGTTAAACTGACTTGCTGGTAAAAATTCTCACAAATTGCTTATGCTGAAATACAGTTTCTTTGTAAACAAAAGTAATGCCACAAATCCAATCTAAGGAAGACAAATGTGTTAGATGCAAAAGCTGTGTTGGAACAAATCTTTGTATACTGGAATTGAAAGGACATCTACTAGTAGCCCAGCACTCTAGCTGAGAATTGCAACCTTAGACAAAAGGAGATAAGCAACTATCCAAAACCCACATAGCTAGGTAGTAAGAACTAAAACAATTCTTCCACAGATATTTGAAACTTTTTTTGAACAATGACTCTGACAAGTTTAGGGGTGTCACTTATAACAATGGAATAAAGCAAAATTCATAGGGTCATCCAGAGGAAATGGATCAGAACTCAGACTCATCAATGGGCACCAGCACCTAAGCAAAGTGTCTCCATTTAGCTCTGCCCTAGTTGTTAAGCCAGCCAGCATCCCAACTGGGCAGAATATAGCCACTCAGTGTTCCTCCAGCCTGCAATAAATAGGTGAGCTTTTCCCTAATATCCTTACGGATGGGATGATCTAAAAAAGCAAACTCCCCAAAGCATATTAAGATTCCAAACAAATAAGAATGATGTTGACATAAAGTAGTTAAGGCGCAAACTTTTCTTCCATCTGAGAATTCAGACTGGACTTGGTTTTCCTCTCATTTAAAATAAGAAAGATATGGTCCCAAGATTCTGATGGGAGCAGGCATCCATCAGGCAGCTTACACCTCCACCAGCAGAAGACCCAATACCTATGTTGAGTATCAAAGCCAAGAGGGCTCTCGCCACAGCTTTGCTGGGAGAGCACCTGGCAGTCTTTAGTGCAGTGGGAGCCTGCATGGCCACCACCAGCCCCAACACCCAGATGCTGCAAAGACTGTAACAAGATGACTGCCATGAGATTTCCAACATATGCTGAGCACTCAGTACATTATGGTTAAACGAGACTGACAACATTTCTACCAAAGCAAGATTGCTTCTCTGCTGAGAACCCAACCCCAGTGGATGGAAACTGACATAGTTCCTTCAAAACCCCAACTGCTGCATCCAAGCCATTTGAAAGCAACATATATGAAGGTTTTAACCAAATATGTTGCCTTCTGAGCCATGATGGGGTAAACCTTGGCAGCTGCCGGCTTCTCCAGGAGTTATAGTTGAGCTTCCTCAGGATCCCTTGCAAGACTGTCTCTTGGCATTTGCCTAAAATATACAATTTACGAGGATAAAGTCTACTAAATAAATGGGTCTTGTCTGGCAAGATCCTAAATACACAGAACTAGTGCCAGGCATTTGTAGACTGGAAATGTATAGGTGTTACAGGAAAGAACCCAACAAATCCATGGCTGTGATAATGAAAACAGTCTCTCAGTTGAGTCCATAATCACTCAAATGTGCTAGGTAATCAAAGGAATTATGTATTCAGGGCTTTTCACCTGTTTCTGCCCCCAAATTTATCAAAAGCTGCACAATCATAAACTTTCTACAGGTCCAATACACTGTTGTGGATGGTGCAGTGGGTGCCCACCCAGGTCCACCAAGGTGCCCTAGGCCAGCTCTTACATGTGTTGCCTGTTAAAGGGCCATCACTTAACAATTCTCCCAAGAGAACAGGCCACC